ATCAGCAATATTAAAATAATAAAAGGCTTGCAATATTTCAGTTGATTTGTAATGAATCCAGAATGTATGACATTTTTGTTTTTTTAATTGCATTACAGAAAATAAAGAACTTTATCACAATATTCTAATTTTCTGAGACAGTCCTGTATGCAAGGTTTACTTCCTTCTTCTTACAACAAAGTTATTTAGAACTTTGTAGGTTGCAAGTAGACATGTTCTCAGTCACAAGCCCAATAACATAAAAAGTATAAGAAGAAGACAAGAAGATTGGCCTCCACAAAATAGGATCTATCTATCTATCTATCTATCTGTGTGAAAGCTGACTCTTTTTTTACATGGTTTTGGAACTAATCCCAATTATTTGAAAGGCTTTGACAGCATGAAGACTATAAATGCATTATCAAAACAATATATGAAAGGTTATGACAATAACAGATGGACCACAACTAACTTCGAGTTTATCTAGCGTTGTCCGGCTCTTCTTGTAGAGATAGTAGCAGATGCCTGAGAGGGCCAGGCTGGCCCCGAGACACACTGCCTCTGAGACCTTCACAGGAAACTCCTCCATTCCCTCTGAGTCTCCTCACTGCAGACCTGCAGGAACACATGATATTTAAGAAGATCAAATATAATCTCTTTTGTTTCCTGTATATCAGTGATGACAAAAAATGTCATGTTACTATGAAACAAATGACTTAATGAAGTAAAGTCTCCTCAGTTGATGATCATGGAACTTGGGTTAACCTCGTTTATGTTTCAGCTTCAGCTGTTGACATTCAAAATCTGACTAATTCAGATGTATAGAGTATTTTTAAAGATTCTGGAAATACATTAACACAATGTTGTTTTAAGACAACCTGGTTTCTTTAAACGAGGCCAGTTGTTTGTTTCGGTTCATATTGCTTGTAAGGGAAATTAAGACCCATTAACTTCTCTTTAATTATTTTACAGCTAACACCATCAAAATGACTCAAACTTTAACTAGCTGTCAACAGTAACAAGCCACTTGTTACATAACGTATTTCAGTGGGATTATTATCTTTGTAATAATGGTAAGCTAAAGTTAGCTGCCTATAAGGCAGCAGTTTTGACCTCAAGACGTTGTTTAAACAACCGTATCGTTAGCTTACTCTATGTTCACAAATATTAAATGCCCAAAGGTATATATTTCTTAATTGTCAAGTACGATTTATTATAATATCAGTTGTTTTTACCTGTCAGAAAATTGAAGTCCTAGCTTGACATTTTCGGCTGAGCTATGTTGTCCACGTCACGTGACCCTATGTGATGAACGCTGCGTGATGACGTATATATTGCGACGTCTCTCCGGTCTCTCCTTCGCTAGTGAGCTACTCGCTACACCGCCGAGATGGCAGGAGGTGTGCGAAGAAAGTCTCCCGGTTCCCCGTCCCCCCTGTGGGGGAAACTCCACACACTGTGGCAGGACAAACATTTGGTCCTGTTCAAGACGGAATACACTCTACTGGTCGTTTCAGTTTTGTGGTTTCTAGAGATCGGTTTCAATGCGTGGGTCATACAGAAGGTAGCATGTAAGTAGCTGCTCTGTGCGGCTAGTTAGCATGCTCTGGTGCTTTGTTATGTTTCTTGACGTATGTAAACGCTAAGTAGCTAGCATTAGCAAACCTACTAACTTCGACTACCACCTGTCAGGGAATGTACTGCCCTTGCATGACCACATGCAACTGTCTGTCTGCTCAAGTGTTAAATATCGTTCATTATTTTTCGCAACTTCTTGCTAAAATTGTATGCAGCAAACTATTGTTAATGACAATACTCTTAACTTAATTTAAATATGTAACGCTACTTATACCGTTACACATAAAGTCCAAGCATTAGTATGCACCCCACGTCATTGATTTTATTGACAAATGTAGCTTACTTCTTAATCTAACGTAATGCTGTAAGATTCTCATGCTGAACTGTCATAAAATAAATTAAATCACCATGTTATCTTACTATTGTTTTTTGTATTAATCAAAACATGTTTATTATAGAAATGTACATGCAAATAAATATACAAATAACCACAGCACAGCACTAACAGCAACTTTCCCCATCTTTTATGATCACTGATGTACTCTATTTACCACAGACACTGAGATAGACTGGAAAGCCTACATGGATGAGGTGGAGGGAGTCATCAATGGTACCTACGACTACACCGAGCTTAAAGGAGACACTGGCCCCTTGGTGTGAGTTTAAACGTTTTTAATTATGTAGAGTTCTCCAAGTGCAGTATAATTTAGCACCTTGTTGTTGCAGGTACCCAGCTGGCTTTGTCTACATCTTTACGGTTCTCTACTACATCACAAGCCATGGGGTGAACATCCGCCTTGCGCAGTACCTTTTTGCTGCTTTCTACCTCATCACACTGCTGCTGGTCTTCAGGATCTACCACCGCACTAAGAAGGTCAGTCTGTGTGACAACATCCTCAGGTACAATGTGGCATGATAACATTGTCTGCGATACACCACTGAACTGTACTGTGTTTGCTAAATAGGCCGTTTATATTGTATGAGTTGTATTGTATACTCTGTACTTATGTATTCTTTTTCCAAATAGTTTCCTTCTAAAATGCCTCTGATGTCATTATTTGCCTTAAAGACATGGTATTTTTTTTTCTTGGAATTTCCCCAGGTTCCTCCCTACGTGTTCTTCTTTGTGTGCTGTGCTTCTTATCGGATCCACTCCATCTTTGTGCTGCGTCTCTTTAATGATCCTGTGGCCATGATGCTTCTGTTTGGAGCCATCAACCTCTTCATGGATGGAAACTGGACTCGGGGTTGCGGCATGTACAGGCAAGTGTCCACTGCTTCACAGCACAATGCAACTCTTATGTGTTTGGCTTTCTCGGGATGAAGTGTCACATATCTTTGTGAAACTTATATCCAATTGTGTCTTTTTTACATTATGAAATTACAACTTCATCTTTCTCTCTCTCTGACAGTTTAGCAGTGTCTGTGAAAATGAATGTGCTCCTTTTTGCTCCGGGACTACTTTTCCTCCTCATATCTGAGTTTGGCCTAATCAGGACAATTCCCAAACTTTCTCTCTGTGCGGGCATCCAGGTAAGATATCCTTAAAACCAGGCAAGCTTTATCAGTACACTAAAATGTTTTTTTTTTAATGTTGTCCACGATCGCCGAGCATCATTTACAAATGAGTCTGTCTGCAGCTTTTGCTGGGTCTGCCTTTCCTCCTGGAGAATCCTGTGGGTTATGTGAGCCAGGCGTTTGATCTTGGCCGTCAGTTTATGTTCAAATGGACGGTCAACTGGCGCTTCCTGCCAGAATGGCTCTTCTTGGATCGGTACTTCCACCTAATCCTGCTGGCTTCCCACCTGCTCGCCCTGCTGCTCTTCGCTCTCCGTCGTTGGAAGAGGTGAGACAGAAGTCACTGTTGGCATTATAGATATGAACTTGAATAAATCAGTGGTAAAGTCGTGCCAGTTTTTCTCTCCCCTACGTAGCAAGAGTTGATCCCAGGGAGTGAAATTAACACTATTTTATTTCAAGGGTAAACATATATATATTTCTTTTTTCTAACCAGGCCAGGAGAAAGCATCTTCGATCTCCTCAAGGATCCCAGCAAGAGGAAAGCCCCCGCTCAGAAAATCACTGTTGATCATATCCTTTTTTTGCATTTGGTTTTGCTTCTATAGAATATTTATCCTCAAAGGATACATTAGGTTTTGTCAGGAAACCTTTTCATTTCTCCTAGTAGATGTCAATGAATTGATTTGCTAAAATGTCTACAATATATCGGTGAGAGAGTAAATAAAGGATGTTCCTAGTATACAACAGCTGCTGTGTGAAACCTTGACCGATGATCACAGATGGTTCTGATTCTGTTCACATCTAACTTCATTGGCATGTGCTTCAGCCGTTCGTTGCACTACCAGTTTTACGTCTGGTACTTCCACACGCTGCCCTTCCTGCTCTGGAGCGGAGGAGTCAAGAAGCTGGCCCACCTGCTCAGGTAAGGGAGTCTAAACTAACGTAGCTTACATTATTAGAATTTTATCGAAAATGCAATCTGGACCAAATCACTATAAGTATAATATTTGGTTAAGGCAACATATGTGAAAGTATCATTGCTCATAAAGTCTTTTGAAAACGTCCAGGTCTACAAACTGTAGTGTGAAATCCTTGTTTCGTATAAATCCAATTAACATTTTAATATATTTTTAATGGAACTGATGATGTTTTAAAAAATGGTCAATCCTCTAATATCATAAATCATACCACAATTTAAAGAATCATGCTGCCCGGTCTAAAGCAAATCAGACCACACCTCACTGCTGCTACTCTGTTTCTTCTTGCACAATAATTATGAATACTATTTTTTAATATTTGATATCTTATATATATTTGTGTTGCATTGTTGTCGGAGCCTGGGAACCCTTTCATTGTATAACTACACTGTAGCTGTTTATATGACAATAAAGCCTTTAAACTAAATGCTAAACTAAAAGTTACATTTCTGATTATTTATACACCTATAGCACACAGTCACTCATACATTAATGCCATATTGTTTTCCCCCTCAGGGTACTGATCCTGGGTCTGATTGAGCTTTCCTGGAACACCTACCCCTCTACGATCGGCAGCTCCGCCGCCCTCCACGTCTGTCACCTCATCATCCTCCTGTGTCTGTGGCTGGCCCCTCCGCTGCACTCAGCCCCACCGGCAGAAACAGAAGAACCAACACCCGAGAAGGACAAAGGCCAGTGAGCTGCGGGCTGATCGGACCGGATGTCGTACATGGTCCAATCAGCTCCTCTCCTCTCTTTGATCCTCACAACACCGGTGCAGAGGGAGGTCACTGTGACAGACTGTTTTTTGAAGTGAATACAAGGAGCCATTCAAAGCTTCTCGTCTCAGCTCACTGCTAAAGGTGAACGAAGCTAAAGTGTGGGTGCTGCACACAGACACCTACATGATGAAGTAGTTCCTTGCAGTTGAAGAGATGAAAAGAGAAAGAAAATATGGATCTCAGGTCTAATTTTCAGACACATTTTAGGAATCGTGGAGTCGAATTTGAGGAGGACATTTTGAATGTTTTGTTGTTTTGAGAGAATTTGTTACATAGGCTTTATTTTTACAAATTATGTTAAAACTGCACATTGCCCAATCTTTAATCTGGTTTTCTAATGCTCTTGTATGTGGTATAAGAATGCAGTAGATTAATATTTAAGTTGTGTATCATTTATATAAAAGTAATATCATAAAGAGCTTGAATATTGCAACAAAAGCTTTAATTCAATTTAATACAGGGCAAGAGTTTGTTTTCCCCACCACAAGGCCACATGTTCTTCCCATAGATATACAAGCTTTAAGACAATCATGGCTCTTTGTCTGTCAGATTGGTGATGTAATGGATTCATCTTCTGTTGTGATGGTTCACTGCTGCACTCAAAAGCACATAGGTCGTTTTAATGTGAACAAAATGGAAGTAGACTGAGCAAGAGTGACATTTTATATTAAACAGAGATGCCACTTAACATTGTAGTTTTTTATTTCTTTTGTTATGTATGTTACAACATTACAACAAATGATTGAATTAAATCAATTAATGATTTTGTTACTTTAAAGTAAGTTTTAATAAGTGTATCAAAGACTTATCCTTGTAATCAAAATAAACACTGACTGCGATTATACATTTAGCAAATTAACTGAAGGCATAGAGACTAGAAAAATCCTAGTCAGATGGTAAAGGCGTTATATATATATATTTATGATGAAAAAAGGCCACTTGGTCTATGTCATTTAAGGATATTCTTACATAAATATAAAGTTTTACACCTGTAAAATATTTCATGTTCAACTTACTATTAGAATGAACTTGGCACTAGGTTATGGCATTAGTTTATCCTGCAGATGAAATACAGGATGTACTCTTCCATTAAAAGGCATTGCTTCTCAGGAGTCACTATCATTGGTAACAAGTGATTATGATGATCAGTAGATCTGGCTCAGTTTCCTCGTCATCGCCTCACATGTTATTGGGGTTGTAACACAGCATGTTGAGCTTGATGTTCTCGTCCCAGTGGCGCAGCAGCAGGAACAGCTGTCTGGCGGCCCCCTTCAGCCCCGCCAGGTCCACTCCCTCGGGCAGATCCTGGCAGCGCAGCCAGAAGTCTGCTTTTGCTGCCACCAGCTCCCACTCCATGAAGAACCCGGCACAGCGGTGCTCCAGCCAGGCCAGAGCCACAGCTGTGGCCCAGCTCGAGCCTTCCAGGTCCTCCAGAGCCATCTGGCTGCCCCCCTGGAGGTCA